CACTACAATAAAAAGCCCCGATAAATCAGCAGTAAGTCTGAGTGCTAATAACGCTAAAAATCACGTTTCGATACCTGCTCATGTATGGCAACTCATGAAGGAAATCCTGTAGATGGAAAGTCCTGGAGTGGCTTTCCCAGAATTAATGGGTTTGTAAACTGTAGCTAAGGTTAACCAAGTACCAATATCTAACGTCTCTTACGACTATTGTGAAAATGGTGCTTGATAATGGTGTTTGGGTACAGTGCCCATGCGCTTCTGAACTGTCTTCAATATGTGAAGCTCTTGACAGTGTAGTACCTTCCCTTTGTTGGACTCTATGATGGGTGAGTTTAATGGACCATGAATTTGCTATTTTTAATTATGTCTAATTTCTCATATAACTTATTCAGTGGTAACTTAAAAGGCCACTTATTGATGACTCCGCTTCATCTTCACCATCTGTGCCTTGCTCTCTTATCCTTCACTCATTATCTGACGATATTATAGGTAAGGGGTTAAAATGACACCTTTTTGTTAATCCATAAAAGGCTTAAAGAAACTTCCTAGCTCCCTTCACACCGTTATCAACTTCGATAAGGGGATAATCGTGCTGCAACAAAAGAAAGCGAGAGCTTATTTTCTCATCTAAGGCTTTTGTTAGGATTCTTATTGAGCTTTTCTCCTATAATACCCCAAACTTCTCCAGGGAAGTTATTTCTGTGACCAATATTCTTGGCATTCCACAAGAGGAAATTCCTTTTAAGATGAGAAGATCAGAGAATACTGCTTCTATTCGTAATAATGGAAATATGTGCCAACCAGGCTACCCATTCTTACCTTTTCTTACCTCCATGGCAACGTCAAGGTGGAGCATCTGAACTGTCTTGTATGGTCATATATCCATACTCAAAATCTCTTCAGATGTTTCATCTACCAGCAACTTGTTCATTCAAAGATATTTAGTTGTGTTTCTACAGCCTGTGATGATACATTTGAGCTTTTCTGTGTTAACTGTCAAGTCAAAGCTCATATCCCTTTTTATTCCAGGTCTTCTTCAAAATAGTCTGGTCACTTTGTATGTATGTATGCAGAAGCTACCCGAGTCTATGTAAACATTTATATCTTCAACTTCTTCTGTGTCCTTTTTGTCCTATGTTATGAAGCTATATTCCTCCATGGACTATGCAGTAGATAAATAACATCCAACCCAGTTTCTTTGCATGTTTACAGAAAGAACTTCATAATGATTTAGTGCAGCCAATCTAGCTCCAAAATGCAAGACTGTTGTACAGTCTCATTCTCTAGAGTTGTGATCTTTATGTTGATGTTGTCATCTATCACAGGCAGAACCCAAGAAGGTTGATCAACATTCTAAGAACAAAAATAAAATGAATGACCAAAAGAATAAACCTCCTTAAGGTTCTCTTCAAAAGGTTTCCCAGGGATCTAGGTGAAAATAGAAACTTAAAAAGGTTTCAATACCAAAACCTTGTGTTAATTAGAAAAATGTATAACTGAGCCGCCAGTATACTCCCTTCATACCTTTCCCACTCATTATGCCACTGGAAGCTACTACTATTTGCTTTATCATTGACCAAACTATCACAATATATTATCTTTACATGCCATTTGAAACTGAAGACTTAACTGGATAATCCGTTCTAGAGTGGTGGAGATGTTGATGGGATTGTTAAATCTGTGGAGTGTTTTTTCTCAGATCACAACGTTTCTCTATTCATTAGAGGAGCATATACCTACTTGCATGTCTCGAATCAAACACCACCATATATATCTGTCCACTTTTCACTTTTTCCCGTTTTTTTCTTGAAAGACAGACATTATTGACAAGTCAGTTACAATTTTCCTGTAAGTCTGAGAGAGATTGGCTACAGTGGATGTTACCTGACTCACATGACATAGTGGAAGCTGGAACATCCGATGTTGCAAACTAAATGATGTACTTAATTACGTACTGACGCAGATTCCAATAACGAGTTGATTCTTTGTTCGTCTTCCTTCATACTCCGCACCACCCCTACTGACAAAGAAAAAAACAGTTTTGCTCTCAGATCGATAATTTATTATTGTTCTCTCAGGCGTTTGTTGGGCACGTTCTTGACAAGGCCTGGCCTTGATTGGCTATGCCACTACATTCGAATCTCATCAGATCTCAATTTTCACTTCTTCAGAGAAGTTCTAAATTTCTTATATCGTAGATTCTCAGCTATTTAATAAAATCAAAAGAGTTTCAAAGGTATTGTACCTTACAAAAAGGACTTGATCCATTAGTCAAGTATCTTTTACTTTTCATATTATAATAAATCTAATACTAAAAACAAAAAATTAGATTCTAAGTTCTTAAGGATTTCATGTTTTCCTTTCTATGTTTGTTATATTTCAATTTTCATTTACTAGCAAATACAACTAGTTAATATTGTAGCCTCACCCGGATGACAACGAAATAAGACGTCAAAACATGTTGAGTGTATGAAACTGTTCCCAACACTAGAAACCGTATTTCGATACCCGTGGTTGGCAGAGCACAGATAGCCCATTGTGTAGCTTTGTGCTTAACTTCAAACAAACAAACTTTATAGAGTAAATTTGTTAATAAAAACTATTTTAATTTCACTTTGAGAGTAGGGAAAGTCTCATTTTTAAATATTAGTTGTACACCGTTAAACGTTGGCCTTATTTCTTTAACATATATATGTGTGTGTGAAAACTTACACGAGTGTCGTCTTAATCTTAATAAAATTGTATATCCATTTTCCAGTATACGAAATTAAGTACAAATGTGTTCTAATGTGAAGAGAGAAAACGAGAGCTACATTTAAATCGTGCTGTGCATTTATTTTATCATATAAATATCGTTTGATTTCATGTATTCGTGATCTTCATCTTCGTTTATTTGACAGTTGTTAGCACATCAATTGGTGGCACGAAAACGTGCCAAGCGTAGTGCTTTACGGTGGTAGCACATTTTTCAAATACACAACTAACTATTAGAAGTATTGACTCTCTTCGGATTGGTGGCAGAGTCACTATTCACACAACCTTTTGTTAGATTTAATAAATTATGTCAAGTTGGCTACAAGTTAATTGTTGGCACAACCAAATGACAGATTACTGACTAATTTCAAGTTAGTGGCAAGATAATGGTTGACATAAACATTTTCAGCTTTGTAAGCTGTCCTGACTCACTCCGAGTTGGAAGCAGGTTGGTTGTTGACAAACAATTTATCAGATGTATTGATTTACTCCAAACTGGTAACAGGTTGATTGTTGACAAACTGTTCATCAATTGTACTGACCCACTTCAAGTTGGTAGCAGGTTGATTGTTGACAAACTGTTCATCAATTGTACTCACCCACTTCAAGTTGGTAGCAGGTTGATTGTTGACACGACTATTTATCAGATGCACTGACCCACTTCAAGTTGGTAGCAGGTTGATTGTTGACAAACTGTTCATCAATTGTACTCACCCACTTCAAGTTGGTAGCAGGTTGATTGTTGACACGACCATTTGTCCAATGTACTGACCCACTTCAAGTTGGTAGCAGGTATAATATTGATACAACCATTTGTCCAATATACTGATTCACTCCAAGTTGACAGCAGGTTGAATGTTAACAAACTATTTATGAGATGTATCGGCTCACTCCAATTGATAACAGGCATAATGTTAACACAACCATTTGTTAGAGGTGCTGCTACAGCTGATGTCGGTGGTAACTTAATGATTGATATACTAATTTGTCAAACGTACTGCCTTACCCAATTACTAAAAGACTGACTACGATGTAAAAAGTTGTCAGCTGTATTGAATAACTTAAATTATGGTTGAAGACTGAATATTGGCACAACCATTTGTCAGATGTATTGAATCACTTCAATATGGTTGAAGATTGAATATTGACACAACCATTTGTCAGATGTATTGAATAACTTAAATTATGGTTGAAGATTGAATATTGACACAACCATTTGTCAGATGTATTGAATCACTTCAATATGGTTGAAGATTGAATATTGGCACAACCATTTGTCAGATGTATTGAATCACTTCAATATGGTTGAAGATTGAATATTGACACAACCATTTGTCAGATGTATGGAATCATTTCAATATGGTTGAAGATTGAATGTTGGCACAACCATTTGTCAGCTGTATTGAATTACGTCAACATGGTGGAAGACTGAATTTTGGCACAACCATTTGTCAGACACACACCGCAGTTAATGGCAGATATTTTCAAAGTGTTACTTTAAAAAGATAATTTTTATATGTACCGTCACATTTGAACTGTATTAGGTCTTTTGGTGACTTTTGTTGTCTGTTGCCATACTTTCTGATACTGTCGTAATTTTCATTGTCAAAACAACAAAAGGATTCACATTAAAGTCCTCAACAAAGTTAGTCTGTTTTGTGAACATACCTATAGATCAAAGCCCTTTTGGAAGAAAAATAGCAGCAATGGCAATAATATAATTCTATCAGTAAATTTGAATTTCGCATAATATTATATACATAAAATAAACATTGCTACAATATGGCTGCACTCGTCTTACCATGCAAAACAAGTGGTAATTTGATAAAAACTAATTGATGACAAAAGATATAATCAACATGTTAACCATCTGTTTCATGAAAGTTCTATTGTATAGTTTAGAAGATTATGATAAAAACTAATTGATGACAAAAGATATAATCAACATGTTAACCATCTGTTTCATGAAAGTTCTATTGTATAGTTTAGAAGATTCTGATAAAAACTAATTGATGACAAAAGATATAATCAACATGTTAACCATCTGTTTCATGAAAGTTCTATTGTACAGTTTAGAAGATTCTGGTATCATTTGAGATTCATTTATCTTCTATTCATCCTGTGACCATAAAAAAAAAGCTGGAAAGATAACTTTCTTATGTTGTTGTTTTTTTAAAGTGAAACGACTAATTCATTCAACAAACCAGTTCTAAGTACTTAAAAATAAATAAATGACGTAAGCAGTCTCCTCATTGTTCTCCATTTATTACCTTTTGATACAGAAACATTTCTTTTCACAACAACAACAGGTTGGTAACAACTGTTCTTAAACTGATACATTACATTAGTTACACGATAAATTTAAACTTCACAGCTATAGCGAGAGCTGACGACACATCTAAAAACAAAACAACAACCAGACTAGAATAAGAATAATCTTATATTGCACTACTGTTCCCAAGCCTTTTCTGCCTTCTCTACAATTTGTTAATTTTGATATGTTTAGGCTGTAAAGAATCTGTTTTTAGTTTAACATGCTTAATGATCTATATCTATTTTTATATTCTAATACTTTTACTTATAAAAATAATTTAGTTTTAATAAAATTGTCTATATAACTTGTTACATAATGTGAAAACAACACTAGGCTCATCTGTAGGCAAAGATATACTTTCAATACATGAGTTTTGAACAGTTAAACCACTTTCTATAACAAAATTTATGCTTCTGTAAAAGAAGAAATAAAACGTAAAATTTTCAAGTAATTCCAGATCATAAGTATGCTTTCTTTAGTGTGATTTTTCTAAGATAAAAAAATTATCTGTAAAATAAAACTAATAATTACACCATCGATAATTCTATGTTTCTATCTCCGTTACTGTTTGTCAAACCAAACGGTATCACTTAATATTTTTAATAGTAATTATTTATCTTGATGGCTTCAACTTTATCCAAAATCAGTTAATTAACGTTTGTTCATGACGAAGTTGACATTAAAGTGACTCGGTTTTTCATCTGTTAAAAACAGTGACCTCTGACGGCTGTGTCTAGGTTAATTCACAGAAAACGTTTATTCTGGGTTGTGTTTTTTTTTGCAACGTATCATTTTAATTGGTATTGTCACTGATATGACTCACTCACAACAACAGTATATGATATACACATAAATAATTTCAATAATTACTCTTTGTCACACGTGACTTACTGCAATATCAAGACAGCTTTCAATATTTGTGGGTTATTTTCAATGATAAGAACGAGCAAATTATTAAAGACAAAAAATCCTGTTGCTTTAAGGATTAATTAGTTTTAACATCTAACGAGTAAGTAGGAAATCTCTAATGCATTCTTCTCTATAGCAAAGGGCGGGAACCGATCTTTTATGAAACAATCGTCTCTGTTTTAACGGCACCAATACAGTGCGAGCAATGGAGTTGCAAAGTACATCATCCTGGCACAGGGCGGCGCTTTCCTCCAAAAATCCCGCGTCACAATCATTAGGGTTGAGACCAAAGACTTCTCCCTTAAAATTTAATAAACAAAATAATAATAAATTTTATAGTTATAATATAAGTTTCTATTTTTTTCAAAACGATTATATAGAGACATACATTTTTAAAGTTTGTAATTTATTTTTAAATTAAAATCACAATTTGACAATGAAATAATTTTGAGATGCGAAATCTTAAAGTTTTGGAATATAGTTTAAAGTTAGAATAATAACTTGTTATCCAACAAATAAATCAAATACACATTAAAGCTGAAAAACTATAAGATATAAAGTTTTTCGTCACCATCAGTTCGAAAAGTTTTACTTGTCTAGCCAGTAACCTCCAGAGAGTAGAATGATGAGATTTATTTATGTTCTGGCTGGCTAATGAGTCAATAAACACATAGAGTCACCATATCGTTAAAAAAAATCATTCATGGTCTTTGAAGAGTACATAAAGTCACAAAAGTAGTTAAAACAGTTAAATTGCGACATCTTTAGGAAAGTAAATCTCATGGCTGACTGTCTTTCTAAAGGTGCTCGGTTTATCGATTGTTTTAACCAGATGCTTTGAAAGAGTTCCTATACTTACGCATGCGTAACATACTTCGTGCCAGTTACATGAATTTTCCAGTAATCGCTGGACAGGGCCTGTTGAGATGACCTTTTCCAGAGAAGAGCAGTCTCTTGTCAGTAATTCCAGAGGTGGACATTGGTCACCTGGAGCATTATAATGACACATGTAAAACGTTATAGAACGAAATTATAGTTATCTCTACTACCTGACTTTGGTCACCCCCAGTATTATAATGACACGTGTAATAAAAATTCGAAAATATATTATCGTTATTATTTGTGATTGATTTCCTGTAATATTAGAATAACACGTGTAAAAACATTAGAACAGTTGTAGTTATGTCTATTAACTAAAGAACTCGTTTCATTGAAAAGTTAGTTTTAGAAACTGTAAGTTAGGAATGTAACTATTTAGTTCAACAAAAAAATTAATTCATGAATTTTAATCAAATCCATTAATTAGAAATGTTACACTATTTAATCTAATAGACAAGTTGTTTGTAGTTAAGCACAAAGCTACACTACAGGCTATCTGTGCTGTGCCAACCATGGGCATTGAAACCAGCTTTTTAGCGTTATAAGCCTTTACACTTACTGATGAGCCACTGGGGGCCCAACAGAGAAATAAGTTCCAGAATTTCCATAAATTGTAAGCAAATCCATTAATTGGTAATGCCATAATATTTAATCCATCCATGAACTGTAAGCAACTTCGTTAGTTAGAAATACCATATTATTTCAAGGACGTTCACGTGAGAGGGGGGGCGTATAAACCCCCTTTGCATGAATCATGCATTCTCGCTGTCCAAATGGGCGCTTAAAATCAATTAATTTGTCTTCAGTACACAGAATGACACCTGGCGAGTAGAATCACAATGCATGGTAACTTTGTTTATGCATCATTTCAACACATACACATTAGCGGATGTAATGAAGCATCTGTCGAACACTTGTAAACAAAAAAGAGCGGTAAGTTATCGTGGATAATGCACGACTCATCAAATTTTAGTTTTTAAAAGTTGGTAATAGTGATCTCTTACCTTTTGTAATCACTTTCATATAACATATTACAATAAAATCTTTAACTATCTGCCTTTCACAAGAGGTATAGCACATCCTCCTCAGGCAGTGGTATATAAAATCACTCTATTCCTTCCATAAATGCTGGTAGCTGTGCACTGGGGTGTAGTTTTCAGGGAAGTTTTGTGCAACGGGAATAGTTTTCATACAAGCAATAAAGGTACAGGGGTTTTTAACCGCTATTTTGCCATGAAAGTATGCAAAATTCAGTCCATTTTTGGGTCATACTGGTAGCGATAAACCTTTACATATGGGAATTTAATCGATGTTTGAACGAAAATTTATGAAATTTGCATATAACACTGTACAACTAGGTATGTTTTCACTTGAAATATAAAAGGGCTATACATAAGGAGCCTGTTCTCAGGCTTAAGTATTAAAAAAAACTTTTCTCGTGTATTATTGGATAGGGGTTTAGAAGCGTGGGCTATAAAATCCTGCCAGAAAAAAAATTCAGTACCTCTCATCCCCCCATTTTAAAATCAGTAACCCCACCCCTCCCCGGTCTAACACCCATTTTTAATAGTTGCACAAAGTATGTTTCAAGCTCTTGTGGTTCCATATTTTTATTGTTTAATAAACTTTAGATGATTTAGTTTCAGGGATTCCCCAAACCCACGAACTACTATGGTTGAACTATTCCCCCTTTCTACAAGAAGCTATGAGCGCCCCTAAATTTAATCCCACTGGGAAACAAGTTTAAGAGTTTCCTCAAGGCATAAGCAACTCAATAAACTGAGCTTTTATTAAAACTGTCTCTACTAAGATTATTGTAACATTGGTACATAAACGTTTTCATTTCGAAAAGTAACTCAGTTAACAGACGAAAGGAATCGAAACATTGTTAAAAGAAATCTGCAGAATATTGAATCCCCCTTAAATAAATCTATCTCAGCCAGTGCTTCACTGATCGAAATTGTGAGAATTTTAGAAGAACAAAAAAGAAATCTGCAGAATATTGAATCCCCTTAAATAAATCTATCTCAGCCAGTGCTTCACTGATCGAAATTGTGAGAATTTTAGAAGAACAAAAAAAAGGTCTATAAATATTCAGCTGTTTATTTCAATCAACCACAAGTCCTTCCTAATCGCAAATTTCATTTTGGCAAGGAAAACTGAATGTAAGTAAGAAAATAAAATTCAGTAAAGTTCCAGGCGCAAATGGATGAAAATTTCAAATATATTGTCGAGGCTATATTGTAATATTTATTACGTCTTGTATTTAACTATAGAACAACACAAATATATTGTTAAGACTTATTGTAACTGTTGATTACATCCTATATTTGCTAAAGACCAACATAAAAATGCTGAGAGATTTACTGTCATTTCCCTCTTTATTCGTCATACATTATATTATCAACTTGCAACCTGTATTACAGTTGAATTTCATCCTTTCTAATCGGTTTTAAATTTGGTGTCATGATTTCAATAAACTTTGGAAAACGTATAAAACATTAATAAGTTTTTAAGTAGTTTCGTTAAGAGATGATAAAACCTAAAACAAGAAGGGTTGTCTATGATATAATTTTACCTGCTACGTTATTTCCTGATAAAGGTTTCCGAGTCTTTAGAAAGTTTCCGTAAAAAGCCTTGATTAATGCAGGAGTTAGGCTTAAGTCATTTTCGGCTTGTTTGGCGTTCTTTGCTTTTTCCAAAGGTTCTGTCTCCACGGTTTCTGTTAAAACAACTAGATATTTCATATTTTTTCCTGATAAAAAAAACGCTAAAAGAACTACTAAATATCGTAACACAAGCAATACAATCAGAATTTTTAAAAAATAGCGTTTGTGTCAGTTAAAAACTTACTCAACTTCAATAAAAACCTGGAAGAGAACAAGGAATCGGTTTATATACATATATATATTGAGGGTTTATCTGATTGAACCAATATTATTTATAATTCATTGTTTCGTGTATTCTGTTCATTTTTCTTTTCTAAAACTCATTATGGTGCATTTGATATGGACATGATATTTATGTCAAGTTCTAAACTTCGATTGCAATCTCTCTTTCTTTTTTTAAAGATATTAATGTACCACCAGGGGCATGGAATTGGAAGTTCTGCTAGCACAAAGCTACACAACGGGCTATCTGTGCTATGCTGTGCCCACCAAGGGTTTTTCGAAACCTGGTTTTTAGCGCTACAAGTCTGCATACTTAAGGCTGTGCCACTGGGAGAGGGGGGGGGGGCTCGTGTGAATCAATAACTTATAACTGTGCTTCACTCTAGATTGCGGTGACTTTTAGCTTTTATTAAAAATCTTTCGTATATATTAAGACATATTTTGAAAAGAAAAATAGATTAAATAAACCTTATATAAGAAGTTTGCCGAAATGTAAACAAAGCTTTCATATCTAAGAGAAGAAATTGTGGACATCTTAGTAATTATGTGTTATTACCACATGGAATGTTTTTCACGTAATTATGTGATAAAACCTATGAAAACTTTCAAAAGCGACATGGAAGATTGATAATATTAATATTAAAATATCTAGTGAGCTGTTGAGCGAATGTTTTACAGAAACAGTAATATTTACAAGTTTCTTTATAAGCTGTTTAACATATACGATTGTTGTTATGAGAACACAGCAAATCCATAACAGCCTGTTGTCATAGCAGCGTAGAGTTGTAGTTCGTCATTGTAAAAATAGTATGGGATTTAACCCTATGTTTTGGATGAGAAATAAAACTCATACAGAAAAAAAAATCAATCAATCTAGAATAACAATTACATTTTTAAAATGGTTTATAGTATCTTAGTTTCCATATTCTTGATGTCATAAGACTAAACAAAAAATGTTTGACCAAGCACAGCAATAAATAAATGCATTTGGATGAAAATCAGTAGAAATTGTAAGAAAAGTCAACCACCTGAATCGTATATAGGTGTGATCGAAAGAGTTGAACCATTTGATTCGTAATTGAAACCTATGGGGCCGAACACGGCCAGGTGGTTAAACGTGCCTAATTGTGGACCCAAGATTAATTGCGCTTCGTTACCGCCAAAAAAGTATATAAATAAAACAATCGCTACGAGCTTTTGGACCGTGGTTGCGAACATAAGTGACAGTCAAATACCACTATTCGATTAGAGTAGCCCCATAACTGGGGGAGTTGGGGGGTTCACTAGCTGCCTTATCTCTTGTCTATAACTTCAAAATTATGGACAGTTATGTGTAGTTTTACACGAAAATTCTGAAACAAACAAAATCCTTTAATAAATATTTCTGGTATTCAAACATCATACAGATCAAATTTCTCGGCCCGGCATGGCCAGGTGGTTAGGGCGCTCGACTCGAAATCTGAGGGTCGCGGGTTTGAATTCCCGTCACACCAAACAGCCGTGGGGGACGTTATAATGTGACGGTCAATCCCACTATTCGTGAGTAAAAGAGTAGCCCAAGAGTTGGCGATAGGTGTTGGTGACTAGCTGCCTTCCCTCTAGTCTTACACTGCTGAATTAGGGACGGCTAGCGCGGATAGCTCTCGAGTAGCTTTGCGCGAAATTCAAAACAAACAAACAAATTTCTCTGCTTTGTGGCTCAATGGTAAATCTGTGAGCTTATGACTTTAAAAATCGAGTTCTGATACCTGTGGTAGGCACAGCCCAGTTAGCCCCCTGTGTAGCTTTGCGCTTAACGACAAATAAAAGGTGTGTACAGCTTATTTTCAGAAATTAAGTCATGTCATGTCATTACCACAAAAGTAGATTTTTGTTATTTTTTGCGAATAAGGCACGCCTCTTTTTTCAAAATCATTAAGACATTATGGATTGATAAAATTATACTTTTTTCTTCTTCTTTTCAAAACATCTTTACTTAGAAGAAAATCAAATAACGTCACCTCGCATTTGACTAGGGAACGAGGTTCTTTTTCTTGGTTCACTGTTAATAAAAGAGTCTTCAACTTTATCCTCTTCCTCATCTTCCTCAATCTGACCCAAGGTGTTTTCAAAATGTTTCAAAGAACGTCCCATTTCATTTAGTTCCTTAGCGGCTTCAATTTTTTTAATGGCTTTTTCCACATCGGATCTAGCCGTCTCAGAAGCGTCATTTTGTATAACGCCCAAGGCTTCGTTTATCATACTCTGTTCAATATTTTTTATCTTTTCCTGGGCAAGAGAAAATTGGCGAATTTCTTCGGAGGATGCCCCGTCATTTTTACTTATTTCGTCTTCTTGAATGTCATATTCATCTCTTTCATCTCTGTTATTTTTATTTATTGCATTGCTCCTTTTCTTCTTATTCCTTTCTTGAAACTCTTTCAGCTTCGACATCTCTTCATTGGAATTCTCATCTAAGTCTTGAGAAACTATGGGAACCCAATCATCACTTCGTTTCTTTTTCATAGTATTGAGTGCCTGAGCCATAGTTTTTATGTACTCCTTCCTAAGCCATTCGTCAAAATTCTTCTCCTTGTGAGATTCATGGGTCTCTGGTATATCTTTTTCTGATTTATCTCGTGGTTCGTCTTGTTCATGTGACAAGCTTTGTGTTTCTAAGTTATCAGTATCGTTACCACTTAATCTTGAATTAATCGAAGTTTGCTCTTCTGAACCCTCTTGTCTCTTACGAGCACGATTCCTTTCTTCGTCGTCTTTAAATATATCTTTGAGCTCACCCAATACTATTCCTTCTCTGTCACTATCGTCCATAAGTAAATGATCTTGCCTCTTCTTCAAATCCAGATGATCTTCTTCGACAAGAAAAGGTAGTCTCTTTTTCTTGTCGGACAAGTCATACTCTTCCGAACTTTTATCAGATAAGTAAATATCAGGCAATTGAATTGTTCTTCCCTTGTCACCGAAGATATCTTTCTTTATTTTTCGTTTTCTAAGTTCTTCAGGAAGGTTCTTAACAGTATCATCAATAATACCTTCAGAAATTGTTTCGTCACTGTCAGAACTATGTATATTTTTGTTATTCTTTAGAGGCAACATCGCAGGGAGATAATAATCCCGAATATTATTTACATCCATAGTTGATTTTGTATCTTTCTTCTCCTTCTGTAGACTTTTATGTAGTTTCTTCTTTCGAGACATACCCATAGATTGATAGTAATCTTGAAGCTTATTTGAATCAATATATGGTGTAAGTTCCTGATATTTGTTCAATGTAGGCAAATCATAATTTTCTATATCTTTCAACTGAGACATGGCCATAGTCAAATAGTAATCTTGGAGATCATCTGGGGCAGTACCAAAGGAAATATTTTGTTCATTAGAAATATCTGTCGAGTCATCGGCATCCATTTTCTTCTTTCGTGACATAGCCAAAAGTCTATGATAGCTTTGAAGGTCAGTTGAATTGACATTTGAAGGAAAAATAAATGGTTCACTGTTCAACTCAGACAAATCTTTAATTTCCGTTTTCTTCTTCGTTGATATGTCTTTATCATAATTCTGGAGATCACTTGAAGGTTCTTGTGCTCTATGAAATTTAGGGGATTTATCGAATTCTAAGTTCTTCATTCGAGAAGGACTAGCCATAACTGTGTTATAGTCGTCTGAGCTACTGTGCTCATAGCTAGGAATCATAGTTTGATCTACTGGCAAAGAAAGGGGATTCTCTGCCTCGCCCTTTTTCTTTCTCCTCTCAGCATAAAGTGGGCGTAAATATAAATCATCATTATAATCTGGAAATTGTGCACCTTTCCATGATAAACGATGTTTGATAACTGGAAGTTCTCGAAAATCCCCCTGGGTATCTGAAAAATGACGTAAAGTTAACAAAATCAGTATGCTTTGTAATTAATTTATAGCTCACTTAAACTTAATGCGCCTAATATTAACGTTTATGCAGTACAATAAACATGCGGTAATGACGTAGACTTTAGGGATTACTTGAATTTACAACTCTGAATAAACTCTTATTCTAAACATCTTGTCAAATATGCATAATACAGTGCCTCAGAGGATTATAGCTTAGTATTGCAATTGAATAAAATATTAATTCAATGATATAATTTACCCATTTCTTTGATGTTATCTTGATAATCAAACCTCGTGTCATCGCTCAACTCTTCGTTAGATGAAGAAATCGCGTTCAGTGGTGAAAAAACGTTCTCTTCGGAGTAATCTTTAATGTCTGGAATAAGATATTTCTTTTTTCTCAAACTTTGTTTCTTAAAAATGTCCTTATCTAAGCTCGATCTTTGGCGTTTTCTGTCGTAATTGGAACTATGGTGACGACCAACCACAGGAAACTCCATGTCCTTATCAAAAAATTGGTAATAGTCTTGTTGCCTGTTAGCATTGTCGACACTGTAAGGTGTGTTTTGATCATTAATTGGAATCCCATCCATGTCCCTTTCTCTTAACTTTCTCTCGCTCTCCTTGGAAATCCACATGATCTTGTTAGCCATTTCAGATGAAACGGGAGGAACATCATCTGGTTCGTTGACTTCATCACTTCTTTGGTTAAGGTAATAAGATTGTTCTTCTTCCTCTCTCTTCATTTCCTGTAGTCCTTCGTTAGGGAAACTGAAAGAATGAGAAGAAACAGGTTTCGCTTCAAACTGTCGCCGACGTCTCTCTACACTTGCTAGGGCATTCCGAAGACTGTCTTGGTCATCAGAAACTTTCTGTAGTAAGCGGAGATCATCTGAAGATAATCCCGTGACTAGATGAACGACTCCGTGGAGAATCAGCAGAAAGATGAGTTTACTCATCTTGACAGGAAGATTCAGCTAACTAGGAAGAACCTGTAGAAAAAGTCAGTAGAAATGAATATAAAGTTTGAATATTTCTACTGGTTAATTATGATATTTTGTAAAAAATAATGTAACAATTGCACTAAACAATATTACTTCTTCAAGTAAGTGTTTTATTTTAGCAGTGTACAGTTCTTTACGGCTGAAAATGGGTATTTATTTAATATACTTTTGAAAGCACAGACAATAAAAAACTGAAAACTTGGTTATGCATGTAATAGAATCATCGGTCCTTATTAAAGTTGTTTCGCTTTGCCCACACACCACAGAATTACTATAGAACGACACAAGCTAAATAAATCAGTGTTACTGTGTCTTTCCATATTGAAACTCTCAAATAAACTTTTCAAACGTTTTATGTATCATAAATAAGTCTGTGGCAAAACCTATTTCATATATATATATATATATATATATATATATATATGTGTGTACATTCCCAGGTCCTTTTATTTTTTCATTATACAACATTTCATATAGCAAATATTTATATATAGCAAAACCACAAAATAATTCTGGCAAAAATTCGGCCTTTACGTAAGAATGTGTTTGCTTATTGTTAAGTACAAAGCTGCACAATGGGCCACCTGTGCTGTTATAAGTCTTCATACTTACCGCTGAGCCACTGGGGAACTATGCATGAGAATATTTTTAGAAATAAAGCGTATATGAACAAATTACTATTTCAAGTCGCTGTTGTTTTTTTACAGGAACTAATCAAATCATACAGTAAACTAACTATGACAAACTATAAAAGTTCATGGGCGCGCGCACTTTAAATAAACATTTATACAGAGGTTGAGTTCATTGTATTAAAACGACTTTGGAGCCTCACCACGTCGTTACAATCCGTGTCGCCACATATAATCATGACCTTGCTACGCTCCATAAGCATCGAGCGTAGTTTCCACTGCAAAAAACACCGTCCTTAGAATGTCATGTCAAAAGCGCACCACCTCTCCCTGCAGGATTTCTATATTCTACTTAGTTTACGAATACGATGGTTTCTCAGTGCTTGTTTCAAGAGTCGGATCACATAGAGATCCGTATACTGTGTATCCGGCAACTTGACCTGTATATTTCTGTATGGAGCAGCATGAATACCCGTTTAATACTCCAGTTGCTTGAGGTATGTAATGGTTCATCATAGATGTCATGGAAGCAACTTGTGTACACGTGACTTGTGTTGCTTTTCCAGATGAAGATATTTCTTGAATATATTGTATACTGTTGTTTGGGGCACGTGGATGGCTCTTGCCGTCGACTTTTGTGTTTGTGGATTCTCGCTTCTTATAAGACGCCATACCCTTACTTCTTGCAGATCTCTTTCTGGGTGGTCCTGGTTCCCAAAGTTGATTTGTATTCCTTTGCTTTCCGATTCGATTAAGAACAATGGATATTCTAATTTTAGAATTTAGTCCACGATCTGAACACATTTTTCTGGCCCGAGTAAATGAATATTTTACGTCGGAAAAGGCTGTACGTCACATACCCTTCCCAAAAGCGATCGGTTTTATTAGCTTCACACATCAAACAATGTCAAAATGTAGTTCTGATACATTCTGTTTCGTCGCAAATTAATTTTTCACGTGACATGCTGATTTACATGTCCCAAGCTGACTTTTCATTTGTCAGATGTCGAATACCATTCCCATGTTCTTCTTTCCTTTCTAAACAACCATCATCTCTGAATTAAATAAAGATATATAATTAGATTATTTTTCTCTTCATATTCTTCAAGTATTCCAACGCTACAACGTAATTTGCGTATTTCAGACTGAAATTTGTTGTACCCATTACAGTTCTTCCAATATTTTTGCTCCATCTATTTATGCCCCCCCCCCAGTGGCACAGCAGCATGTCTGCGGACTTATAACGCTAAAAACCGGGTTTCGATACCCGTGGTGGGCAGATCACAAATAGCCCATTGTGTAGCTTTGTGCTTAACTTAAAACAAACAAACCATCCATTTATATTTTAAGTTATTTAAATATATTTTAGAATAGCGTATTTCTTCTCTAACTCCTTTCACCATCTAATACCATCCGATCTTTCTTATTTTCTTTTATTATAATTTATTGTCCCTCTATATCAGTGATTCCCAACCTTTTTATTATCATGTTGTCCTGAAACCTTTCCTTTATTCACATTTTTCATATTCTTCTTACTGCCATTCTCCAAGTCCTTAATCTTCACCAAAATGTTTTCCTGGTATCTTTTTTTCATCAGTTGCCGTGTTTTATTTTGTCATTTTATTTCTGTACAAAACGTGTTTTTTCTCCATCAGCTCTTCAATTCCAAGTTATATATATCCTAACTTTTCCTCTTCTTCTTCCTGCCCTTCATAATTATCCCAACTATAATTGTCATACGATTCTGTCCTATTTTCTACCTTCATCCACAATTGATTTCAGTTCTTCTTTTTCAATTATATAATTCACCACCAAAACTCCTATATGTACTTTCCATCTTCCTTTCTCGTCCTCCATTCTTCCATTCAACACCATCAACCCCAAAAATTTACGAAATTCCATAAACTTTTTCTATTTGATATTCAATTCTTTGTCCTGTTGTTTTCTTTATCCATTAAATTTCCCATTTATAGATAGACCCTTTCAACTTGAAAAAACAAAACAAAAAACTTTCTGTAAAGTGTTCCTTTTCTGTAACAATGTTTTCTGTATTTCTTCTTCTATGACGTCCTCATTTTGTGATTCGTGATTTTTTTCGAAAGGGAGGGGTATTTATCGTACCACCTCCCTTTGATTAACAATGAATTATTCTGTTTTTCTATTATTTTTTCCACCACCGTTACTCTTATAACGCATCAATAGCCCCAAAGTGAGGATCACGATTTCGTTTTGTTCTTGCGGTAACAGGACGCGAACTAAAGACCCGCATATCTATGGTGTAGTAAGCTAACTTCCGAAACACACTCCGCTTTAAAGAGGAAGATCGACGGAAACTTCCGTGCTTTGCCACTTTAAGTGAGCAAAAGAATAAATTGTGTGTTGTTCTTTCCATACATTAGCAAGTCAGATTTTTATTGAAAAGTTTGAAGGTTCTTTATGGCAATTACGTACAATGCTATACTAAAAGTGGCCCGGCATGGCCAATTGGTTAGGGTGCGTGATTCGCAATCTGAGGATCACGAGTTCGAATCCCCGTCCCATCAAACATGCTCGCCCTTTCAGCTGTGGGGGCGTTATAAAGTGACTGTCAATCCCACTATTCGTTAGTAAAAGAGTAGCACAAGAGTTGGCGGTGGGTGATGGTGACTAGCTGCCTTCCCTCTAGTCATTCACTGCTAAATTAGAGACGGCTAGCGCAGATAGGCCTCGTGCAGCTTTGCGCGAAATTCAAAACCAAACTAATAGAAGTTTCAGACAAATGAACTCAATGGCTGCAAATACAATAATGTGAATCAGATTAGCGTAAAAAAAAAACTCATGAATTTTAAATACCACTAAGACGAATATTCCTGAGAATTGCGGTTCGTGGGTAGATTAGCAGTATCAAAGTGTGTGATAAAACCTCATAACATAGCGAACTTGTAAAAGAAAAGATTATGAGCTGGTGGAAACATATAAAATCAATACACAAATCAATGACTATGCTTAATCACACTGACTTGTTTTGCATAAGAATACACGAGAGCATTTAATAGTATCTAGAAAAAAAAAAATTTTGAAGTCTTTAATATGGTAATTCCTGTAAAATCAGTATTCTATAAACTAATGCTCGAGATTCCACGTTGAAAGATAAATTATTTTATCTGGTTATTTAGACGTAATATATATATATATCACTGTCGTCATAAGTGTGTCTCGTATGGCCTACTAATGAAACATTGAAGTATTTCATTAAGTTTTCTAGAATGTATGCATTCTTGGTCAAATATAATCAGATTTGACGTACATGATTCGGCAATTTAGTATTTCTGTGCATTATATATCGTTCTGTCATCCATATCATCATGTTCTATTCTCTCGAAAATACCCCCCCCCCAGTGCCACAGCGATATTTTTGCGGACTTACAAAGCTAGAAATCGGGTTTCGATACCCGTGGTTGGCAGAGCACAGATAGCCCGTTGTGTAGCTTTGTGCTTAACTACAAATAAAAACTCAGAAAAACTTTATTTCTTTTGTTGTTTTGTGTATTAAAATTACTCAGTTGATGTGGTGAAACCCGTTTCATGTAATGTTGTTTTTCAGATCATGTAAGAATTAGTACAAATACTCGGAAACTTTTATTTATCTTAGCATTTTCTATGTTAATATACCACAACTAATGCAGTGAAGCCAATTCCATGTTAAATTATCTCTTCAAATCAGTCAAGAATTAGTACAAATACTCAGAAACGTTTTCTTAACGTTATGTATGTTAAATGTCGCATTTCAAACAAAACTGAGCTCGAAGTTACAATTTGTTGAGGCTTATCTTTTCACTATTAATTTGTAATACATGTTATTTTTTGTAGTGTTTCGTAAAAAAAATTCTCCTTGTCTTCAGGTCATCTTCTGATTCTCAAGGATCATTCAACCGGCCACCCATAACAACAGAAACATGCCACACACTCGCCGTCACACAGGAAGTCAG